AGCTTCAGCAATGGTGAGGTGCTTAGCAACTCAGTAAGACCCTGTCTCTAAATCAAATACAAAATAGGGCTGCGGATGTGACTCAGTGGTTGGGTACCCCTGAGGTCAATCCCTGCTACAAAAAAAAAAAAAAAAAAAAAAAAAGCCATACAAAACAAGCAAAGGACCAGACCTGGCCTACAGCTGATTTTGCCAACTCCTGATCTAAGACAAATCAAGCAAAGAGAAAGATTTAAACCATTTCACAAAATATCCACCATTCCTAGAGAAAGTCAGGGTCAGGTAGCAGTGGCAGTGAAATCTCACTTTTTATACAGTAAAGGTTATCTGAAGGCAGTTTCTACTGAAATAATTCAAGAAGGGAGACAAAAGCCCTAACAAAGAAATTAAGTTTCTGACTCCACAGATAAAAAGTGATCAGTATGCTCTCTGGGGACAGAAATCAAGAGTTGCAGGGAGCTGTCCATGGAGTTCTCAATGTGGGAAACTGTAATTTTACATGACTTTATGCAGAAAGAAAGGAAGCAGCAATTTAACAATCAAGTTAAAGGAAAGATCAGGAACAAGATGATTATAATCAGAGCAGAGGAGCAACAAACTCCAGACAGGCTACGAATTCAGGGACAGGATTAAAAAAAAAAAAAAAAAAATGGTGATCAGTGAAGCTGAAGCTAATAAGGACCATCAGATAATAACACCAGTCAAGTGCAAAACGGACCTGTCTGAAGAGATGGTTTACAAGCCTGTTGCTAATGGGTGGATACTTCCAAAATCTCTTCAAATACTAAAAAACATTCTGAAGTAAGGGCTTCATATTGGAGGCCTCCATGGAGACTAGAGGAAGGCAAGCACATGATGAGAATCTGTCAGTGTTTCTCCGCAGGATGGGCCAATGAGGGGGCCCTGGGCCCTTGGTGTGCCCACCTTGGTTAGGGCAAGATGCACTGACACCCAGTCCTCCTGCCCCTGCGCACGCACTCCACCCACCTACCACTCCAGAAACAGAATGGCTTCCTATACTTTCCTCTGAGGACAAACACTCTGGCCAGGCCACCCCCAGTGTCTCTTTTTTTTTTTAATTTTTTATTGTTGATTGTTCTTTTATTTTTTTTTTCCCAGTGTCTCTTCTACTTGGAAGTTTTCTCTCTCCTTATAAATTATAAACTGGTATTCCCATGTATTAAGTCTCTAATGACTTTGATAAGCATGAATAGTCTCCAAAAAAGTCTTTTATTTGGGGGGCTGGGGATGTGGCTCAAGCAGTAGCACGCTTGCCTGAAATGCGTGAGACCTGGGTTCAATCCTCAGCACCACATACAAAAAAAGATGTTGTGTCCGCCGAAAACTAAAAAATAAATATTAAAAAATTCTTTCTCTCTTAAAAAAAAAAAAAAAAAAACTCTTTTATTTGATACCGGAGACTGAACCCAGGGGCACTAAATCACTGAGCACATCTCCAGCCCTTTTTTTTTTTTTAATGTTTATTTTTTAGTTTTAGGTGGACACAATATCTTCACTTTATTTTTACGTGGTGCTGAGAATCGAACCCAGTGCCTCACGCATGCTAGGCAAGCACGCCACCACTTGAGCCACATCCCCAGCCCCTATCTCCAGCCCTTTTAAAAAATATTTTATTTAGAGAAAAAGTCTTGCGAAGTTGCTTAGTGTCTCGCTAAATTGCTGAGGCTGGCTTTAAACTTGCAATCCTCCTGCCTCAGCCTCCTAAGCCACTGGGATAACAGGCATGCGCCGCCACACCTGGCTCCAAAAACCTCTTAATCATAACCAAGGTGAAATGATAAAAACACCTGGTAGAGCCAGGTGTGCACGCCTGTAATCCTGGTGGCTTGGGAGATTGAGGCAGAAGGATCACAAATTCAAAGTCAGCCTCAGCAACAGTGAGGTGCTGAGCTACTCAGTGACACCCAGTCTCTAAATAAAATACTAAATAGGGCTGAGAACGTGGCATGTGGCTCAGTGGTCCAGTGCTCCTGAGTTCAACACCTGGTACCTCCCAGCACCCCTCCCCCTGCAAAAAAAAAACAAACCCTCACCTGGCAGTTTTCCCTTGTATTTTCTAGAATGCACACCAAGGACAAGGCAGTGGAGATGCACACATAACCATAAGCAGAGGCTGTGGCCGTTGGGAATGCCGCCTCTGGAGTCAGACTGCTTGGTTTGAACAACCCCAGTTCTACCACTTCCTATAGGACAGAGATCTGCATCTCTAAGAATCACTGGGAGGATTAAAAGAAATGCAATGAAATACTGGGTACAACTTCTGGCACCTGGAAAGTGCTCCATTCAAGGTAGCTCTGTTTTGCTACCACTACTGTTGTCTTTATTATGATTACTGATTGTAACAATGGTGTTAAATCCTTTTGCTGAATTCACTGACTAGAAGTTGACCTCCACTCACAGCAGTTTTCCTCTTCATCTGACACTCTGAGAGCATTTCCTCTTATATATTTTTTTAATATTTTTAGTTGTAGACACAATATCTTTATTTATTTTCATGTGGTGCTGAGGATAGAACCCAGTGCTTCACAAGCACTCTACCACTGAACCACAACCCTGGCCCCAAGCATTTCCTCTTCTTAGGACAATATGTAAATTCCAATCCCAGATCCCACCCAACTTCTTCACCAGTTTTTTTTTTTCTTGTACCAGGGATTGAACTCAAGGACAGTCAACCACAGAGCCACATCCCCAGCCCTATTTTGTATTTTATTTAGAGATAGGGTCTCACTGAGTTGCTTTTTGCTGAGGCTAGCTTTGAACTCACGATCCTCCTGTCTCAGCCTCCCAAGCCACGTGCCACCGTGCCCAGCTCTTCACTAGCTTTTAAAGCAACATACAGAGCTGCTCCTCTCCTCAACACTACTGTGGTGACCACAAAAATACAACTGCTCACAGCTGCCCACTTCTAACCAGCCTCATAGATCACATCAGTCCCCTCAAACTTCCCTACCTCTCTTTCATTACTATAAAATAAAAGTTCTCCAACATTACTGCAGGTTTACCATCTACCAGGCTCCTGAGGCAAAAAGTAACATTTCCTTATGTATAAAAGATATGAATGCAGATAGCCACTGGGAATATGCAAATTAAAATCCTTGAGTTGCTACTTTACGTACATTAGAATGATAATAATAATGCCGAAGATAAAAGGCAAATAATAAATGTTGGCAAGGATATGGGAAAATTATAATTTTCATTCACTGCTGGTATGAATGCAAAATGATACAGCCACTTGGGAAAACAGTCTGGCAGTCCCTCAGAAGTTACCTACAGAGTGACTATACACATGATCCAGCAATTTCACTTCTAGGTACTGAAAATATACATCCACACAAAACTTGTACAGTAGAGTGCTTGGCTAGCATGCATAAGGCCCTGGGTTCAATCCCCAGAATCACCCACACAGAAAGAAAATTGTATACAAATGTTCACAGCATCATTTTCATAATAGCCAAAGTGAAAATGACCTAAATGTCCATCAACAATCAGTGGACAAATAAAATGTGGGCTATCTAACCAATGGAATATCACTGGACAAAAAGGAATGACCTACATGCTCTTGCAAGCATGAGCCTTGGAAACGTCACACTAAGCACAAGCCAAAGACGCCATCCCGGAGAACACTGCAGTACACAATCCCACACACACCAAGGCCAGAACAGGCAAAATCTACGTCAGAGAGAACACTGGTGCCTCCCAGGGACCAGAGCGGTTGGGAGGAATGAGGAGTGACAACTAATGAGAATAGAGTTCTTCCTGAGGTGATGAAATAGCTCATCAAACTGACTAGGGTGTTGGAGGGACAATTCTGAATTTACCCTAAAAAGCACTGGCTGTACACATTAAACAGGTGAATTACAGGGTGTGCAAATAAACCTCCAAAAAGTTGCTAGGTAAAAGATAAACATTTGCAAAATGAACACAGAAAAAGGGAAGAATGCCGAGTCTGCTGGAGGCAGAAAGAGGCAGGGAAACAAAACTAGCCAGCACACCCAGGAAAGTGTGCCTGCAAAAATAGAGATTGCAAATCTTTTTTGTTTGTTTGAGAATAGTGGAGATTATACCCAAGGGCTCAGACATGCTAGGCAAGTACTCCAGTATTGAGCTGTAATCTCAACCCTTTCTTTCTTTTTAAATTTTGGGACGGGTCTAAATAGCCCTAGCTAGCCTCAAACTTGCAGTCCTCCTGACTCAGCCTCCCTGGCAGCTGGTATTACAGGCATGTACCACCACAGCCAGCTGCAAATCCATTTTTAAAGCCACTCAGACATCTGTTGGCTTTTCATGTGATTCCAAAACATTTTCACTATCCTAGCTATAGACCATAAAAATGTACGTTTATAGGAGTCTGGGTGACCCCTACATTATAACATAAGCTACAGAGATAGTTATACTTTATTCCACAAACTTTTTTTTTTTTTTTAAAAGAGAGGCACAGTAGTGCACACCTGTAATCCCAGCAATTCAGGAGGCTGAGGCAGGAGGATCACATATTTGAGGCCAATCTCAGCAACTCAGTGAGACCCTGATTCCAACTTTTTTTAAGAGCTGGGCGTGTAGCTCAGTGGTAAAGTGCCCCTGGGTTCAATCCCCAGTACTGGGGGGAAAAAATAAAGGAGAGAGAAGGTCTTGCCCAGGCTGGATTCAAACTCCTGGGCTCAAACAATTCTGCTTCAGCCTCCTGAGTGGCTGGGATTATGCTGAGCTCTCAGTAGACATTCTGCCTGCTGTATGCTAGGAAATGCCCTAGTGTCACGAATGCTGAGATGGCTGAGATGCAGGCCCTGCTCTCAAGGAGCTCACAGCAGAGTGAACTGACAGTTATGAGGCAAGAATCAGGAGAATATTCCCATTTATGTTGCTACAATAAATGTTTCCATGAAATTTATGTGGTTTCCAATAAATGTTTCCATGAAGAGGATGATACAAAATAATTATAGGGTGGTGACATTAACCCATACTTCTGAGGAGGGGCCTACCTGTTGACATGCTCCTCCCAGTCCTCTGGTGGAGGAGGGGCATCTGCATCAGTCCTGGCAAAGATGACATGCCTTTCACACTCATTCATCACGCTGCGCGCCTTCTGGTTGTCATAGAGTGGCACGGGAGTCGATGTGACTGTCTCCACATCTATTGGGACGTCTGATTCACTGTAAACAGGTGAGAAAATGGGACCAGGCCACAAATACTGCACATAATACCCGTGTTTAACAATCATCTGGTTACAGAAAAATGTCTCTTTAACAGACACTTTATATACTATACATGAGCACATTTATCTACAAGAAATTTTTGATCCAAAGTCATCTTTCCCACATTCCTCTAGATCTCTGCATTCTCTGTGATAGGTGCTGAAGGCACATAAAATCATTTTTAAGTGATTTTAAAAAGTAGCCTGTTGGTTACTTTTTTAAGAAAGACAAATAGTTAATTACGTAGATACATGTAATTATATATACAGAAGTTATAAGCCACATATGACTACCTAAATAAATTTAAATAAAATCAATTTAAAAATCTAGTTCCTACATGTATAAAGACATGAATTGATGTGAATATACTTTGTATACAACTAGATATGAAAAATTGTGCTCCATGAACTGTAATGCATTCCGCTATCATATATAAATTTTAAAAAATTAATAAAAAAGAAATCCAGTTCCTAATCACACCAGATACATTTCTCGTGCTCAGCACACTGGCCACCATATTGGACAACACAGGATTATAGCATTTCTATCATGCAGAGTTCTGCTGGACAGCAATGATCTGGAGTTTTAAATGATTCATATAAACTTTCCTTTTCATTAGTTAACTGGTAGTTAACTATATCTTGTAAAAGTCTATGATTCTCTAAGATCACCTGGTATGCAGACAGCTTAGCTATCTAACTCACTTTGTGTAGCACCTACCACAAAAATGAATATAAATGGATCTTTGAAGCATCTTTCACATTTTAGAATGATGCTAATGAAATTCTAGTGCCATGAGGGCCCTTCCCCAACTCATTAGGTACACTGCACAAACTGTGTCACCAGAAATACCATGCCAATCAATCTGATCTACTAGCTGTTTCCTCAATATCATATTAACTTTTTGACCTCTATGATCATATTGCATCCATTCCCAATGACTGGAATAGTCATGTCATTATGGAATGAAGTGAATAATTGTGCTACTAGATTTGGTAGTGGGCAAAGAGCGGATTATCTTCTCAGATCAGACACTGAGCTAACACTTGTGGACATGTGTGCCTCCAAGACTATTCTTGATTTCAGCATCCCAAACCTCTCCCCCCTCAGTCTTCACAATTCATGGCACCATCCAGCTACTCAAGCCAAAGATCTAGGAGGTATCCTAATTGAACCTTTTTCCTTTGTACTGTTCCCATCCCTTTCCAGGCTATCATGTCTAGCTCATCTCAGGCTACTGCAGTGGCCTTCTAGCTGGTCTTCTAAATCCCACTCTTACACCATAATCTACTTTTTAAAAATCCAAAGTGATCCTCTCAAAATATAAATTGGATCTCAAGCTTAAAATTCTTCAATGACTTCTTACCACTTAGAATCAATTGACACTGCCTCTGCCAACTTCTCTTTACCTCCCACTTAAAACCCACCTGCCACCATATTCTAGCCACAAAGGCCTAAAAAATAGTTCTTGCAATATGCCAAATTCCCATTTTCAGGGTATGTGTATGAAAACAGGATTTATATGAGGAAATAATTTTCTAACTACCAAAACAGCTAATTCTACAGAAACTTACTTTAAGCATACACTTATAATCTCAACTGCTAGTGAGGCTGAGGCAGGAGGATCACAATTTCAAGCCCAACCTGGGCAACTCAGGAAGACCCTGACTTAAAATTTTAAAAAGGGTTGGAGTTGTAACTCAGTGCTTGCCTATCATGTGCAAGGCTCTGGGTTCAATCCCCGGTATCTCAAAAAAAAAAAAAAAAAAAAAAGTAATATAATGAGCTATGGACCCAGGAGTTAGTTTCAATGTTAGAAAGAAGCTTTACATAACAGAAAGGAAAAGATTTCAAATGCTATTTAAAGGAGCTTCTCTGTATGCCTTAGGACAGAGGAATCAGGATTACACTTCTGGTTCAGGGGTCCATGTCTGTAGACCCAGGCTGAGGAGTATCACTTGATCCCAGGATTTAGAGGTTAACTGGACAATGTAGAGATTCCCCTTTCATCAAAACAAAACCAAAAATAAACCAAAAACACAAAACAACCTGAATAAAATGTCAAGGAGGCCAGGTGCAGTGGCACACGCCTATAATCCCAGCAGCTCCTGAGGCTGAGGCAGAAGGATAGAAAGTTCAAAGCTAGCCTCAGCAAGGCCTTAAGCAACTTAGCAAGACACTGTCTCTAAATAAAATATAAAAAATGGTCTGTGGGGTGCTGGGGATGTGGCTCAAGTGATAGCGCGCTTGCCTGGCATGCACAGGGCGCTGGGTTCGATCCTCAGCACCATATAAAAATAAAAAATAAAAAAGATGTTGTGTCCACCAAAAACTAAAAACTAAATATTAAAAAAAATTCTCTCTCTCTCTTTAAAAAAAAAAAAAATGAGCTGGGGATGTGGCTCAGTGGTTAACTGCCCCTGGGTTCAATCTACAATACTAAAAAAATTTAAAAATAAAAAAGATTGTGTTAGACTATTCCCTAATATCACAGATCCTATGTCCTATACAACAAAAAGTGCTAATATCATTGGGAAACAAATTAAAAACCACTGTTCTATGTGTAGGGTGTGAGGGTTGTAGCTCAATGGTAGAATGCTTGCCTAGCATAAAAATACCCTAGGTTCAATCCCCAGCACTGCAAAATAAAAATAAGAAAATTTAAAAAACACATCATGGTCCCCTAAGATTCAATGGTGGGGGTGAGATGGAATCTAAAGAAGCTCTCCCAACAAAACTGAAGTCTGTGCTTAAGGAAAGATTACAATTAGGTAAAATTAAAACAAATCTCCAAAAAGATTATAATTAAGGGCATAGTCTAATCATCAGAATTGAACATATCAATAAGTCTTAAAATGTAAGAAATCAGACTCCCTTAAAGATCAAAAGAATTGCCAAACAGGTTTATATAAGCCAAATGTAACTGTAGCTCCTATCAGGTAATAAATTTATGAAACTTCCTTATCCTATAACATAGGCTGGCTGAAAATACTAGACTAAGAAGGGTTTAGATTAAACCATGGAGTTCAGTAACAACCAAATTGAGAAGGCAATGTCTTAGGAATTTGCTCCTAACCTGTGTGTGTGAGGCCAAGAAATGAAAAACAGCTACTGTTGCCACTATCAAGCAAACCAGAGCACTGCATCAAAGTGACACAGGTCTTACCCTGTATGACAATTATTTATTTATTTTTGGTACTGGGGCATTTAGTATTATTTTTGGTTTTTATTTCTTTTGGTATTGAACTCAGGGGTGCTTTACCACTGAGTACCTCCCAGCTCTTTTTATTCTGAGGCAGGGTCTTGCTAAATTTTGGAAGCTGGCCTGGAACTTGCTATCCTCCCAAGCTGCTGCAATTATAGGGATGTACCATCATACATGACCTGTGTGGCAATTTTTTTTTTTTTTTTTTTGGTACCAGGCATTGAACCCAGGAGTGCTTAGTCATTGAGCCATATCCCCCCCACCCCAGCCCTTTTTGTTTGTTTGTTTTGTTTTATTTAGAGACAGGGTCTTTCTAAGGCATGGGCCACCATGCCCAGATGTGTGTGGTAATCTTTTAAAATCAACTTCTTAGCATTCCTTTTCATCAATTTAATTCTCTTCAATTTCCTTTTCCCATACAAGGCTTATCTAAGTGCAAAAGGGAGTCTGCTTTCCTTTACACATCTTGCTTTTCTAACTCTTCTTAGGAGATGTCTCCTGTGATAATGTCCAGATTTAGGCCTGATATTTTTATGCTGCTCAACCGAGATGCCCAAATTAAACATCCAACCTTCCCACACAACACCCCCCAATCATCCCCAAGAAAATTCTTACTGCCCAGTTCCGGCAGTACCAGCCTTTGGGAAAGAAGCCCAAACTCACATGGTATTCTCGTGCTGCCTCCGGGGAGTAACAAAGAGCATGCGGGTAGGGCGGGCACTACTGGCATCTGGGTGGGCACTCCATGGCTTGGCATAGCTATGGTCCAGAAAAACCAAGTCCAGTTCCCGTTCGTGCACTGAAAGCTGGAAGAGCAGTGAGGTGCCCATGCGACGAGCTGAAGTCTGGAAGTCCCTCTCCCCACCCCGGTGGGCCATGTCAGTAGAGGGGCAGCAAGTCAGAGCATGGGTATCTGCATGCTAGTCACCTGTGGCGAAAAGTTTCAGTTTAAGTCAATTCGAATATTCTAAATTTTTCCCAACCTAGACTATCTAACGTGCTTCTGTGACCGCTATCAGTCCCACTGCATATTATTCAGCACATCTTTGCCCACGCTGGGAGGGCTCCTGAAATTTCAGAGCCACCACCAAAAGGGTGATGGTGCCATGAGTCCCCCCATACTCAATTTCTACAAAATTCCCGAACTGGGGCGCTGACTGCCTCCCTGGTCCACAAAGACCTACCCTGGGACAGACCCTGGAGTTACTCGGCCAGCACCACACTTTCCTACATGGGACGGAAGGATTCCGGCAAACTACAGGTATCACAAACACGAATTCCAAAAAGCTGAGGGTTTCTTGTTTCCATTCTCTAAAGCAAACGTGGGAGGAGCGGGCGGCCGGGGCTCCCTCTCCTCCTCCCGGGGTACGCTCAGGAAAAGTTTTACAGCGACTTCACGATACTCGTAAGTTTGGGGACTACAACGAGGCGCGCTCCCCGTAGCAGCCTGGGCCAGGGCGATGCCCCGGGAGCCCTTTCTCCCGGCCCGGGTGGAGCCCCCCGCAAAAAGCCCGGGGCTCCGGCACCCTCCGAGGTTCCCGCCACTGAATCGCGAGACGGCTCCTCCCGGAGGCAGAGCATGTGATCCCAGCGGACGGCCGCGACTGAGGCTCCGGGGCCCAAGCGACTTGGCCAAGGTCGCCGCGGGTTCGCGACGAGGAGGAGCCGCCCGGCCCCCGCCTCCCGCTCCCCAGGCGGCCGGGTGCCGGCGTCACCGCGGCCCCGGCTCCGCACGCCCGGCCCGGCCCGGCCTCCGGCCCCCGACTCCCGCAGGCCGGGGTACCCCAGCGGCCCTCGCCAAGGCCCCTGCCGCCCCGCCCGCGGCCGCACTGGCGGCCCCCTCGGCCCGCCGCCCCCGCCGGGAACGAGCCTGCGTCTCACCCGCAGTCGTCGGGCCGCGCGCTCGCCCGGGCCGGGCCCCAGCGCGCGTGCGCGCTACCGCCTCCGTGTCCTGGCGCTGCAGCACCGCGCAAAACGCGGAAACGGATCGTGGCCCGGCAAGGGAGGGACGGTGAGCGGCAAAGTCCGGAATGGATTGAGCTCCAGCGACTCAGTGCGCAATAGCGAAGCCGTGAACGCGCGCGCATCTCCGAGGTAGAAATTTCCACCGCCTGCCTGTTCAACCAGGAAGGCCAGCACAAAGGATGAGTTCAACTCTGACTGACCCCAGTAACTGCCACCCCCTCCGCAATTGCTCCCTTTCTCTGAGCCCACAGACCCAGAGGCAGGGCTGGGAGGGCGTGCACCAGACTCACCTCCACCAGAGCAGCCCCCTAGGATTGACTCTTTAGGAATGTGCTTGTTAACTCTTTATGTCCTATATAGGATTGACTACTGGGGACCTAATGGGATTTATTAGTGAGCTGGGGGTGAAGTTCAGAGGTATGAGCAAGGCTCTGGGCTCTATCCCCAGCGGGGCCAAAAATGTTAAAAATGTTTTATTCATTAAGAATTTTCTCATAACAGAAGAAACAGCCACAGTAAAAATAATAAATTAATTTTAAAATGAATTAATTTAAAAATAATTCGTGAGCCAAAAATTGTTTCAAAAAATAAAGTCTATTAAATATAATTAACAAGGGGTTGGGTGTAGCTCACTGGTAGAGCACTTGCCTGGCATGATTAAGGTCCTGGGTTAAATCCCTAACATTGCACAATAAATAAATAGCAAAACAAAGCGTTTATGCAGAGTTTTTCTGGATGTTGTTGGTCCTTCCACGTGATATAGAGGGGAGTCAGGACCAGGGTTTTAAGAATAAAGAGAAGGTAGCTGGAGGAGTTTGAGAATGTGGGTGGAATCTCAGCTCCAATATCCAACTCCCAAACTCTAAGTAGGATCCCAGGAGACAAGACTTCAGCCTTCCCTCAACTCTAAATGAGCAAATGCTGAGAGGATAAGCCAGGTCATGCAGTCACCTGTCAAGAACACAAATAGATTTCAAGATGGTAATTACCATGCAGGAACACCCAGCCCTTAAGAGTGTTCTAGAAGAAAGATTTCCCATTGAGGTGTTTGAGAGGCATCTAGAAGGGGAAGTCATTGAAGCTGAGTGCTGAAGTACCAGGCCTTGCGGAGAGGTATTGGAAAGCCTGGAGAGGGCCCAGGCAGAGGGGACAAAGGAGCAAATACAGCCTGACACCATTTTCTTTAGCCCACACATCATTACTTTCTTTCCTTTTTTTGTGTGTGTGTGTGTGGTGCTGGGGATTGAACCCAGGGCCTGTGGGGCAAGCACAATTCTATTCAATTGCAAACTTTTTTTTTTGGTACTGTGGGTTTAGCCCAGGGACCCTCTACCACTGAGCTACATCAAGACAGGGTCTCACTAAGCTGCCTAGGCTGGCCATGAACTTACAGTCCTCCTGCTTCAGCCTCCCGAATCACTGTAATTACACACACGTGCCACTGCACCTTGCTCAGTTGCAAACATTTAACACTTGGAATATTTTGTATAAAAGCCCAGATTTCCAATTCTCTTGAAAAATGAGAGGCTGTGACAGCACTAGACAGGCCTGGGGTCTGAACATGCCCTCACTCTAGCCATGGCACTCCACCTCCTTGACCTCTGTGGCATTTGACTCATCATCCACCCACACACACCAGCCTCAGCCAGGACTTAAATGCAAGATCCCCAGCATCATGCCCCATTCTCCAGGAGGCTTAGCATGTCTTGAGATGGGTGATGGCCATGAGTGTTGGGGACAGGATTGGGAAACTATGGGAGTGCTGATGGCACACCTGTCCCTGTCTCTGGGCAGGTTACAGCATCAAGTGTGAGTACTCAGCATATAAGGAGGGCATCCTCAAAGAGGAGCTGCTCCTAGCCTGCGAGGGTGGCATGGGTGCCTGTGTGCTGGTGACAGTACAGGCACGTGTTATGGGTGAGTGTGAGGCACAGATCTGGTTGGAAGGGAGTAGATACAAGATTGGCCTTGGGATCCTTGTCCAGTCTGGGGTCCCAACTTCTAGGCTCAGGTCCTCCCAGCACCCCACACCTGATCCCTGGGGGACAGAGGACTCTTTGGGGTGGGGTCAGGGCACAGTGGACACACCAACTTGCATGCCTGCTTTGCAGACCGACATCATGGCACACCCATGCTACTGGATGGTGTCAGGTGCGTGGGTGCAGAGCTGGAGTGATGTGGCTTCCTCAGCCTTTCCCCAGGTGGGCGAAGGGGTGGTGTTGGGGCCTCACCCACCCGTGTCACCTCTGCCTTCATTCTCCCACTACCCTGCCTCTCCTGCCTTCTCCTCTCCCACTTCCTCCTCTCCGTATGCCTCAGTCTCCTACCAGAAGAAATGGGTTGAGCCCCCAAGGAAGCTATCTAAGGAGGGAAGGGGAGATCCTGGGGTGGGTTCTACCCACTCTCCACCCCAAACCAGGTGGGCTCCAGTCAGGGTCTGGGAGAGGACTGAGTGGCTCTGTGACACGAAGGCCCATTACTACTGCTGCTGCTGCTGCTGCCTGGGTGCCTCAGCCACCTCTCCCACTCCTCCCTCTTCCCCTCGGCTACCCCTGTGAGTAGGAGGGAGGTGCAGTTCCCAGCCCCTACCCCTCAGGGCTGTGTTACTTGGTTTTTAAATGACTGGTTGGGATAGAACCCATAAGAAATAAAAACTTCAGTGGATAAAAAAATAATAATAATAATAAATAAAAGTTAAACAAACTAGAACAATAATCTCAAAGCCCATCAATTAATGAATGGATAACAAAATGTGACACATTCATATAATGGATTTACCCAACCAAAAAAAGGGATGACGTTCTGACTCATCCTACAACACCGATAAATGTTGAAAACACTACGTCTGAAGTGAACTTTACCCATGCTTTCCTCTGGGGAAAGCAGTTTATTGAATTTTAGGAGCTCATTCTATAAAACCAAATAACCTTTTGGATATTAAATATGTTGTAAATGTTTTCCCTACTTTGGTATTTGTCTTTCAGCTTTAAAGCATATTTTCTGCATAGGACTTTTTAGTTTTAGCCAAATAATGTCAGCCTTTTCTTCTGCAGGGATCTTTGGTGTTATGCTTAGTTTGGAAAATCATTAACAAAGCAAAAAAAAAAAAAAAAAGAAAGCATTGCATTGTGTTTAGAGTTCAAGAAAAACTACCAGAGCATACTTTTTCCTTTTACATCTGCTGCACTAGAAAATAATTGAGCACCGTGATCAAACATTCAGCTTTCAGTCTTTGAATGCCACGCCTCTTTCAGAATGCATAATAATAGTATGCTTATTATGCTATTAGTCCTTGATTTTCCTAACCTTTTCTCTTTTAAAATATTCATTAGTTATAATGTACACTTTTAAAATATTGATTCCTCACCCTGACCATTGATTGGATCAGAAGTAACTTATACAATGTTTGAAGCCAACCCAGAAAAGGCCTTACCTAATAGGGACAACAGGAGCAAATGACAGCTCCATCCTCACACAAAGACCTAAAGAGCAGCAATGACAGCCACCAGTTCTGTGGTGGCTTAGCAGGATGTGGTGGTGCACACCTGTAATCCCAATGGCTCAGGAGGCTGAGGCAGGAGAATCATGAGTTCAAGGCTAGTCTCATCAATTTAGCTATGCAACTTAGCGAGACCCTGTCTCTAAATATAATATTTAAAAAAAAAAAAAACAAAGACAGGGTGCTGGGGATGTGGCTCAATGATTAAGTGCCTCTGGGTTCAATCCCTGGTTCAAAAAAAAAAAGCTAATTTCCCTCTATTGAAGAACTCATGTCTAAACTTAGGTTTCCTTTAGAAAAAAGGTCTAAATCTTTTGCTTCTCCATGAGGAAGAACTCCCCCTGAGATCTCAAAAAGACAGTCCTTGATTTTTCAAGCCTTTTCTCTGATGGCCTCACTTCCCCCAGGCCCAGTCCAAGGGATAGAACCCAGGACTTCACACACGCTAGGCATTCCCAGCCTTTTGTTTTTTTGAGACAGAGTTTTGACTCAATTGCCCAGGGTGGCCTTGAACTTGCAGTCCTCCTGCCTCAGCCTCCTAGGCAACTGGGATTTACAGGTGTGTGCCACTATCTTAGCCCTGATGGCCTCATTTCTTTTAGCTTCTCATCTAAATTATTCACTGATTCACCCCAGACCACTTGTTTATACAGAGAAAACATTTCTCATATGCCTAATCGTCAAGTCAAAAGTACAGCAAGAATAGGAAGAAAGGGAAAGGAAAGAGGGAATGTCAAAGCAGACAGATTACTTTGTTGATGGAGGCTCAGTCCCTTAAGCCACTCACTTGATAGGTACTCTGTTACTCTACCCTCTCCTATTTCCAGAGATTCTTCCCCAGAACCAAGAACTCTCCACCTCTGTGACATCCCCTTTGTTGCTAAGTTCCACTCACCCCAGAGGGATCAAGGCACCCCAAGAAGGAAGCTGTAGTGCTAAAGAAGAAAGGAGAGGAAGACAGAGGTATCCAAGATGCTGCGGCTTTTTGTGGGGTCTGCCAAGATTGAACCACCCCTAACTCCACCGCCCAAACCCTGCCTGACCGTTTACTTCAGAGGTGAGAGCCAGGGTCCAGAGGGAAAGAGGAGCCCCAAGAGGCCACATGCATTCAGTGAAAAAAATACAT